CGTTGAGCTCAACGTGCATATTGTTATCCCAGTTACTCCACGACTGACCTCTTTTACGGCTTGAATACCTCATCGGGTATTTGCTTTCCCTGTCGTCCAAATCGAGGTCCAATTTATTCAACTCTTGCAAGACTTCTTCGGTATCACTTTTATTGTCATTTAGTGTCAGTTTGGAATCGCTTTCTATACTTTCCAAGTCATCGATCTCTCTAATGTAGTCCTTGTTTCCGTCCAAACTCTTGACCAGAAGTGGCAAACTGTTGAAACTGTTGGACATCTCCAGTTTGGGAGGTCTTGTTAACAGTAACTCTTTATCGGCATTCAATTCGTTTGATATATTCTTTGCAATCATAGCACTCAACACATCTTTGCTCTCATCGTTGTATTCCTTCACTGAATTGATTTTCGCTTCACTTTTGTCAAGAATGGGATTCGTTTCATGTGTTGTCACCTCATTTGGATACCCTATTCAGTATAAACAAAACATTACTTATTAATTAATTTATTATTAAATCCAATTCATACTTCTCTTTCGTCTAAACATAGTTTTCAATTTTACAATTCTAATCATTATAATCAATATTTTATTATTAATAAATGAAAATAAATATAAATATTTTATGTTTAAATTTATTATTAAATCCAATTCATACTTCTCTTTCGTCTAAACATAGTTTTCAATTTTACAATTCTAATCATTATAATCAATATTTTATTATTAATAAATGAATATAAATATAAATATTTTATATTTAAAAACTATTGCAAAATTAACAGAGAATAGTATAACACTATATAACACTAAAATTCAAGTTCTACGTTATGTTTAAGAACTTTATACATTAAATACAAGTATATAAAAAAATAACATTAATAACTAATTAATATATAATACAAATATAGACAAACCCATGTACTGTTGATTATAATGATTCCAATTGCCATTAAACTGCTCATCATTTTGATAGTCATCTAAATAGTTATTCTGGTGCTCAGTATTATATTCTTCATAAGAAAAGTCATTAATTT